AAAAGTTGGATATGCTGATCGAATTTTATTTCCTTCTCTAGGAACAATCTCTCTTTCTGTTCGGTTCTGTGTCCTGGAAGGATGACCTCTATGGACTGGATCACTAGAAACCCCTTGATCTTTGGTTGATAATTTCATTTTGCCAGTGACAACTATTGGCAGGAGGTTTAAGGTCCAGAGCAGAGAGCGGTCAGTTGTCTATTCCCAGTACTTGATGATCCTTCCCTATCAGATTACAGTTTATTAGTGGCTGTGTTTACCTACCTATGGCCATTGTTCCTGTTGGGAGGCCCCTTTCTACAGTTATAGGTCTTACCAGTTCCAGTAACACTGTTTTCTCCCATGCCTTCTTTTGTAAGGATAGGAATCGCTTCCTACTATTGTTAGTCTCTAGGTGCATCACCAGTTCTATTGGGTTTCTTAATCCTTCCCTCAACTCTATAGTCTTTTTTGTTAAACTTCTCTTCAACTACCTTTTGAATAAGCTATTTTATGTAGAAACCATGACTAAATGATATTTAGCTCCAACATTTTTCACACACTTACCCTCCTCCTCCCATTCTTTCAACATAGTTATTTACTACTTAGGATATAACCAGACAAAAATAGGACTTAAGAAAAAACTATTTTAAAATGATGTATAACTTTTAATTGATTGATTTCTAGAGAGACAGTGGGAGAGAGGAGTTGGGGGTGGGGGGGAGAGAGAGAGTGAATGAGCAAGTAATTTGCTGTTTCACTTATCTGTGTATTCATTAGTTGTTTCTTACATGTGCCCTGATCAGGGATCAAGCCCACAGTTTTGGATTGAATCTGCGACCTTGGAGTATATAGATGACATTCTAGCTAACTCAGCTACCAGGCCAAGGCCAAGAAAATATATTTTAAATAAGTATTTAAACAGAGAGTTTAATTCAGAGAACTGACTACTCAGTTGATGGATTTGTTGGGAACCCAAAACTAGGGGAGGTGGAGCAACATAGACATTAGTATCAGCAGGAAGCAATTACCACCCATGGGCTAGGAGGAAAAAGCCAGTGTGGTGTTATTGGTGTCCAGGGCCCAAGACCACTTGGTAAATGTTGGAATCATGTCAGGACTGCCTGGAAGCGTCACTGGAGGATTGATAGAAATGCAGATATTGCCAGAGACACCAGATGAAGTATACAGGTAGCAGAAGAAACTTAGATTCTCCCTACTCCCTGCCCTCCAGTCTCGCTTAGGTGCCTCCCAGTGGCTGAATCTAAATGCAACCCAAGTAACAACTAAACTTAGAGATATAATTTGCAGGAGTCATACTTCTGAGACACAAAATTATCCAAAGAAAATTTGGGGGCATTTGAACTCTTTTATATAGGCCATCATTCAATTCAGGCTTTAGCAAACTATTACATACACTTCCAGATGTTTCTTTCACCTTGCCTATTCAATGCCAAATCTCAGGTAAATTTACCCATCTTGATAAATTTTACTTGATTTAACCTTATGTTCTCTTCTCCTCAGTCCAGCAAACTTAAAATCCATTCCCAGAATACTTGTTGACTTCTTGCTTAATACAAATTAGCAAGAACTTGCAGTTACATTGGATTTAAGTGCTATGTCCTCCCCAGATCTTGAAATTCTCCCCTGGGCTATGCTAGAAACTAACTCTCCAAGGGCAATATGAAGACAATGTGAGTGGTGGCATGTGTTCTTGAGGAGTTGCTTTTCATGGCCTCTATGAAGTCATTAAATATTCTTTCTTTTTTCTTTTAAATCAGCTTTATTTTTAATAGTCAGAACCTGGAAACAGCCTAAATGTTCATCAGCAACTGGTGGATACGTAATTGTATCCCATTCATATACAGTGAAGTATTCTCAGCAACATAAAAGAATGACCTATTGATATTCTCAACAGTAACTAATCTCAAAACAATTATGCTTATCACTAAAAGAAAGTAGGGAAAAATAGTTGCATTACATTTATATAAAATTCTAGAAAATGTAAACTTACATCACTAATAGCTTCTTGGAAACAGTGGCATTAAGTAAAATGACATAATTAAACACATTTTATCATACACTAATTTGCATAAACAAGACAAGTTCCTATGGCATTTTTCTTGTCACACAAACACCAAACTTCTAAACCAAGACCTAAAAACTTCTCACATTAAACACTGAAATAAATGTATGCTATACATACATTTAGGAAAGATTAATAAAAACAAATAAAACTTTCTAACCCACTTATTCCAGTTCACGGCTATACGTGGCTGGAGCTTATCCCAGCAGCTCAGGGTGCAAGGTGGAAATCAACCCTGGCTAGGACACTCTTCTGTCACAGGGCATACTCACACCCACACCCACTCAGACTGTGACACTTTAAACACACCAATCCATGCAACGTGCACACCTTTGGGATGTGACAAAAAACTGGAGTACCTGGAAAAAAACCACAGACATGGGAGGAATGTGCAAACCCCACATAGCCAGTGACCCTAGTTTGGAATCAATTTTTATTTCTCATTTAAATTTTTATCAAAACAACATTGAACAAAATGATGTTATTTGAGTACCTGCTGTTTTGAAATAAAACAAATCAATGGTTGCATGGGGATGAGGCATCAGAGAAGGATAAGAAATTATGAAGGGAAATGAGAAAACTTTTGGGGTAATGATATGTTCATTACCTTAACTGTGGTGATGGTATTACATATGTCAAAACTTACCAAATTGTACAATTTAAATACATGGAGTTAACAATATTCCAATTACATGCTAGTAAAACTGTTAAGAAATGAAATCATTACACATAAAAATATGGGTTTCCCATTTCTCTTGGAAAATCAACCAACTGTATTTTAACTCTACCTTCTCCCACTTCTCCTATTTTGGTGAACCCTGCCTCACTGGCAGCAAAAACTGGAGAAAAATTAAAACCATGTCTACTCAAACACTGGCTGGGTCACAAGACCCACCTGACACTGCAGTATCTCTCTTCTCTGCCCTGGGGTTCCTGCTTCTGCAGTGATGGTCATAAGGTCAATAGCTGGTTGGTACAAGTATCCAGAAAACCTTTAGATTATTTATTCTGACACTGACCTCAGCCACAGGCAATAAAGCAGTCTGAAGGTCCTGAGAATGTCTGTATACCTTTAACCCACAGAGCCATAGACACATTAAATTTGTGTATGTTCTTCTGAGCAGACACAACTTCTAATTTGCCAAAATCTCTACCATTCCCTACTATTTATGTTTCTGTATACCCTTTCTATATCTAAAAGGTGTATTCTACTTTTTTAAAGAATTTTTCCTCGAAATGAGATATTATAACATCAAATAAGATATCAAAACTATTTTAGGATTTCGAAGTAAAACAATATTTAGCAGTATTAGTCTTACTAAGTGTAAAGGCTTAAATTTTTAGAAAACAGAAAAACAATTAGTATTTCTCTTAATATTTAAATATCGGGAAAGATGACAACACTTTATGCACTAAAACAAGAAATATGTCCATTATGTTCCCCACTTCAGTCTTGTAGGTCTTATCTGCTTGCCAGATTGAGACTTCACAGGGGTCATGACTTCTGGATGGGTCCTGGGAGATAGCTACACTTCAACAGTGTTGGGAAATGTGAGATATCCCCTGGGAAAAAAGGGACATAACTCACACTGTTCCCAGAAACAATGGAGGCTGCCATACCAATTACCCCCTCAACACGCTGAGTGTATGTCTCAAAGGAGAAACTGACATCTAGGTCATAAGATCAGTCCCATGTGGCCAGACAGTGTTTCCTGAGTGTTTAGCCAGCATTGCTAATTAGGCCAAATTAGACCAACAGCTGTTTTCATCCATCCTGCATTTTTTTCTAAGGCACATAAGTTTGAGGCCCTCACAAAAGGGGTCCTACTTTCAAGCTGGCAAAGGCCATTTATTTTATTTTTGCTTTTAATAACATTTTACTTAGCCCAATATACCCAAACTGTTATAATTTTAACATTTAGTCAATATAAAGATTACAAGGAGATGTTTTACATTCTCTCTCCTTTTTAGATATACCGTCTTGGGAATTCAGTGAGCATTTTATATTTGTAGCATACTTCGGCTTTGACCAGTTACATTTCAAGTGCTCAATATTCATATGTGGCTAGTGCCTATCAGACAGTACAATTCTTCTAGACATTTAGCTCAGCCTACAATCCTAGTTTTCTTCTTGGCCGTGGAAAGGAATCAACACCCGTGTAGGTGTGAAGGGAAGAAATTAGCTTAGTGAATGATGACCTGTTTCCCAAAAGTCCATTTCTTTTCTCAATTAACCACACACAGTGAACAGAACAAAGGAAAAGCTTTAACAGTAAGTCTTTTTCATTGCACACATCAGTTCAGTGTGAGGTAGGCAGCTGCAAGGTTGGATGATTTGGAGACTATCTCACGTAGAGTCAATACCATCTATGGAAAACAGAAACCTCTGGAAAATTGCAGAAGATTCCAGCTCTTCTTTTTGGCAGAAGCGGGGTCATATCTATAGTGAAACCGTCAGGGGAAAAAAGAATGAGGAAACCCAGTGAGTTCAGATCACTCATGAATCCAGGAAACAGGAGGGATGGTGGGGGTCTGCCTTGAGTACACTGGGATGACTAACACAATCTATGACCCTGACTGCTGGTAGAAGGTGGATAGTTTCTGCAACAAACACTGCCAATAACATAACTCAGGCCACAGAAAAGTCCTGAGAAAGTTAGAAAATGTAAAGGAGCCCCTGAAAGTTTCCCACATACCTGGCACTTGTTGTGTCCATATTCTGGATACATGGATGTACAAAGTTCAATTTCTGGTTAACTTCATCTCAAAGACTACATTTCAGAATCATGCTATGTTGAGCAAGGATAAAGCATATTCCCAGCTCTTTAGGCCTCTCTCAATTGTGCAGGTTCTGGTGCTAAATGAAATTAAAAGATGCGGCTGAAGGGTCACCAAAACAGTTTCACTCAGGAGGCCTTTCTTTGATGTGAACTTTTCACGAACCACATAAGGTGGGAGCATCTTCTGTAGGCTCTTCCACCTCTGCTGAACATATAAAGCTTTGCTCCAGTGTTTTGTTGCTGGTGTGTAATGAGGCCGAAGTTTCCACCAAAGAATTTTCCACATTGTCTTCACACCCAGGCCTTGAGCTGGTATGAACCTTCTTGTGTTGAGTAAGGTGGCTCTTAGCAATGTAGGTTTTTCCACATTCGTTGCACACATAAGGCCTGATTCCACTGTGAAGCCTCTTATGTATTTTAAGAGCGGTGCTGGAGCAGAAGAATTTTCCACATTCGTTACACTCATAAGCCTTTTCTCCAGCATGGACTCTCTCGTGATCAGTAAGTGCACATTTACGAAGAAAGGCTTTCCCACAACTCTTGCAAGAATAAGGCTTTTCTCCACTGTGAATTTTCTCATGTTGAGTAAGTGTGGTTTTACGGGTGAAGGCTTTCTGACATACACTGCACTCATAAGGTTTTTCTCCAGTATGAAGTTTCTGGTGCAGCATAAGGTGGGAATTTTTACGAAAGGATTTACCACATTCAGAACACTTATAAGGCTTTAACACATCCATATGAATTTTCAGGTGTTCTTCAAGGCTGGAGCTACACCGAAACAATTTCCCACAATCAACACACTTATAAAATGTTGTTTTGTTGTGGGCCTTTTGGTGTAACATAAAGAAGGAGTGGTTGCCAAATAATTTGCCACAATCACTGCAATGGTATAGTCTTTCTTCAGTTTGAAGGGCCTCCTCGCACTCAGTGCTCTGGTGTGGCCTCTGCACATTGTGAGTGGCATGGTGTTGGACAAGTCCAGAGCTGGCAGAGAAGTCCGCCCCACCGTTTCTGCCAGTGAAGGAATTCTCTGACACGGGGCCTCTGCCACTCATAACAAACTGGGCCTGGCCATTATTCATTCCACTGAATGTCTCTCCACTCTGCTGCCTTGGGATTTGGTCAGGGTTTGTACTAAACCAGAAGGTTCTCCCACATGACTTACATGGGTATAATTTCTGCCCAGAGGATGTTGCCTGGTGCCCAGGCAGTTGCAAAATGTCTTTCAAGATGGGGTCGCACATGTCACACTGGTGGCTCTTTTGTATGGAAGGACCCACCTGAAGAGGTCTCACCTGTGACGTTCTAACAGAAACACCCCTCTCAGAACATGCATTTTCATCATTCATTCTATTCCCACAACCAGGACCAGAGCTCCCTTGTATCATGTTTGTCCTTGCTAAAGATACGCCCACTCCGTGAGGAACATTGGGTTGTCTCACTGGCCCAGGTTGGGTAATCATAGGGTGTCTGCAAATTGAAAGACCCACTGACGCAGTAGTTAGAAAGGTCTCCAGCATCACGGACCAGTACAGGCATTTCTGATCCTCATCAAGTAGGAACCATTCCTCTGGGGTGAAGCAAATGTACAAATCCTGAAAAGTCACAAGATTCTTATCAGGGACCCCCTGTGCTGTTGCCTCAGCCATTGCTATAGTACCAAAGCCCTGTGAGGGCACCGCCACGCTTGCTTGAGGCGCGAGGTTGTTCGTCGGCACCAGTCAGGGACAGGGAGTCTCACACAAACCTGAGGCCAGGAAAGGCGTGGAGGTAGGTCTCAACCTTGAAACTGTTCTCCGCTCGGTATGGAAGAAGCAGAAGAGAAGCAGTGTCGTCAGAGAACCAGAAGAGAAGCCTCAGTCGAGCACACCAAACCGAAACTAAAAAGAACTCCGTAGTGCGCAAGACCGGAAGTCCCTCCTGGCACTGTCGTAAAGCTTTAATCCTGGAAGGGCTGGCTTTCTTCGATTGAAGAGATGAAGGAAGTCTGCGGTTGGTGGATATGATGAGGCAATTTTAAAATCGATAATTCTCAGCTTTATTCAAATCCATCCAAATTTCAGAGTCATGCTTTCAATTTCACCTGCCCTTAAGTAAATCTTGACATTAGGAGTAAGTTTTTTGTCTTTTATATATCTCATTGTTGCTATATGAGGTAGCTATTCATTTTTTTTATGTATTGATCTTGTATTTAGGCACTGTTCAATTCTCTTTTTAGTTCTAATTGTTAGTAGGTTGATTATCTTGGATTGGTTATATAGATAATCATGTCCTCTGCCAATCATGTTTTATTTCATACTTTCTAACTTCTACATCCATTCTCCACTTTTTCTCATTTCTCTTGTCTTATCGCAGTGAATAGAACCTTTAGGACATTGTTGATTAGTAATGGTGACAAGAGGTAACTTTGATTTCTGAATTTAATATGAATTATTCTAGGCTTTGCATCTTATACTGTTTATGTATTTGTTAAATGTACCTGTTGTTACATTTATGGGAGTTGTTTGCCAAGATTTTTTTTTTTACCATGAATGATTGCTGGATAGCATTCAATTAATATTGACATATATTCAGTCAATTAATTAAATATATTGACATATATTCAGTCAATTAATTAAATACATTAATTAATGTATTTTTTCATTTAGATACATTATTTTAGCTTTGTTGATAAATTTTCTTGAACTTTGCTATCCTTGCAATTTTGAGATTAAACCATTGGTCATAATGTGATTATTATAATAAAGTGTTGATTATGATTTTCCCAATACTCTATTTAGAATTTTTGCTTCTGTTTATAAATAGAAGTAATATACATTTTTACTTTTCTATATTTATAAGTATGATTGATATACACTTTTACTTTCTTGTGCTTTGCCTGACTTGGTGGTCCACAGTCATTGCTAAAGTCAGAAAATTAGGAATTATCTCTTTTCTACTCTATATGTTGGATTAGTTAGTTTTTATACAGTCAAAATTAACTTTTTAAAACAAAGTTTAGTAGGACTGATATCTTTGTGTTTGAAGAAATTAAACTACTCTTTCTCTGATTTTCTTCTTGCTGGCTACTTTGCTATTTTGTATTTTTCTAGAACTTTTTCATGTTATCTATATATTTCTAGGATGTTGATTACTCACTATATTATATTTTTACCTTTATTCCAGCTTTATTGCAGTATAATTGACAAATAAAAGTATATATGTTTAAAGTTTATAATATGATATATATATATATTTAAAGATTTTATTATTTATTTATTTATCTTTAGAGGTGAAGGGAAGGAGAGAAGGAGGGAAGGAGAGAAGGAGAGAAATATCAATGTATGGTCGCCTCTTGTGTGTCGCCTCTTGTGTGTCCCCTGCTGGGAACTGGCCTGCAACCCAGGCATGTGCCCTGACTGGGAATTGTACCACAACCTTTTGGTTCGCAGGCCTGCACTCTATCCACTGAGCCACACCAGCCAGGGCTGTTGAATATATATTATATGTTATATATATATATATATACACTCACACATAGGGTGGGCAAAAGTACAATAGGTTTTTAGTTGTTTGTATGGAAAAGAATATGATAACTAATAAATAACAATACAAGAATAAACTGTGTACTCAAAATTATAAGCCTACTTTTGCTACAACCTGTAAATGACTTCCACAATCAAGTTAATTAACATATCCATCTCCTTTTATAGTTGCCTTTTTTGTGTGTGCATGGTGAGAATAGTTAAGATCCACTTTCTTTGAAAATTTCAGTGTATAATACAGTATTAAGTGTAGTATGCTTTATAGCTTATCTCAACAGTTTACTCATTTTATAACTGAGTTTTTGATCTTTTGATGAACATCTCTCTCCTTCACTCATTATCTAGCCCCTGGCAGTTACCATTCCACCTTTTCATGAGTTTGATTTTTTCTAGATTCCACATGTGAGTAAGTACATAGAGTATTTAACTTTCTGTTTCTGGCTTATATCTTTTAACATAATGTCCTCCAGTTTTATCCATATTGTTACATATGGCAGCATTACCTTCTTTAGGACCAGATTATATTCCATTGTATATATGAAAAATATTTCCTTTATCCATTCTTCTGTTGATGGATGTTTAGATTATTTCAGTATCTTGCCTATTGTGAATATTGTTGCAATGAACATGGGAGTGCAGAAATTTCTTCAAGATAGTGATTTCATTTCTTTTGAATATACCCAGAATTGGGATTATGGATCATATGGTGTTTAATTTTAACTAATCAATCACTTAATAATTAGTTACACACTTTAATTACTGATGTTATTTATTCACACTTTCCTTATTTTAATTCACAAATTCACAAATAAAATGACAGCAGGCAAATTTTTCTTTTTATTATTCTTATAAAAATTATGTATCTCTTGATTAAATCTGTGATGCTTTTTTGTTTCATCATTCTGTTTAATTATTTTCTTTTATTTAGAATGTTTTGTTGTCTTTTACTATCTTCTTGCAGTGAAATGTTAATTTATTTTTGGGCTTTCTAATGCTCTAGTAAATGCACTGAGGCTATATATCTCCCTTTTATTAATGGTTTGTTGAAACACTCAGGTCTGAACTGTGGTGTGGTTTATTTTGTTTTGTATCTTTTTTAATTGTAAGTTTCATATGAGTTTCACATTTACCTACAAATCATTCAAAATTGTGCATGCAATTTTTTGAGATATTTGGGTTAATATACTGTATGTATTGTTTTTGTCACTGATTTTTCTAATATTATTTCACTGTATTTTGTTTGTGACTCTTGTATGATAGTTTCAGAAAACTTGAAACTTTTTTTGCTTTTATATTTATGTTTGTCTAAATTTCATGTGCATGAAAATAAATTTTATTTCTTCATCTGGGAGCATATATATCAGATGTATTAGTTCATTGCTGGCATTTGGTTTCTGAGATACATATTAACTTTTTCCACTTACAATTACTCCTTCAGTTCTAAATTTGCATGATTAAACTTAGAATGGAAGGTATTACGTAGGGATGGCTCACTAACAGAGTTTGCTTTAATCTTCACCACTTACCAGCAATAAGATAACGAAATTGCCTCTTAGGTTGGTCGTCTCTATTAGTCTCTGTTCCTGTTGATTGTTCATTCCAGGTTGGGTTCTTTCTTCCTAATTTCCAATCCCTGGCAGAACTTTCCTATTCTTCACCCTTCCTCCATCACTAGTCTCACCCAAAGAAGGGAATTTTTTTTCACTTTGAGGAAGTGGTAAGGTAGAAGGGAAGCTATTAAATTATTTTTACTTACAACTTCTAAATATATAGATTCAATAAAAATGATTTCTTTTTTTCCTGAACCTAGATGTTTGAAATTATGAAGACAAAATTTGATTATTTTTATGCCCCCCCTTTCCATTTCTGCTGAGTCACACACAATGGTCGTCTGATTGAATAAGTATAGTAAAAGGGAAGAAAGAAAATTCAGAATTAGGGGAAATTTCTTTAGCTCTCCTTAATTATATCCTGTCATTTTCCTAATGCTGATTGTACTCTTTCTTTTTCATGACCTGCTCTGCCCTGCACTTCTTTTTCCTGCTGCGACCCACAAAATCAGTCACTTTGAAGAATAAAAAAAACTTTCATGACCTTTATCAAACGGAGATTCACTACACTGATCACTGAGCAGAAGAAATTGTAAAATAGAACTTTTAATATTTTAAAGCCGTTTGGAATACAGTTCATATGAATGATTTTCTACAGTGTAAAAATTGGAGGAAAGATGATGACCCTGGAGAACTTGTACTGACAGCCATGGGAGGAAGACATGTGAGTGTAACTTTTAATTGCATATTTAATTGACCTTGTAGGAAAATGAATCTCACATTTTGTAATGAATACAATTACATAAATATTTGAAAATATTACTATCCAGAAAGTTACTCAGACTATTTCACAACATTATTAGAATAATATAGATATTATATGATTTCTTTTGATAGTACTAAGTAGTATGTATTCTTTTGACAGTACTAAGAAAGCCACCACCCTGCTTTATAGAAGAGGAGTGGAAGCTAGTTAGGATATAAAATAAAGCATACCCACTACCAGTAATTTAAGTAATTCATGATAAATAACTTTACCAAGTACTTTCTGAAAAGCTTTTAGACATTATTTCAAAACTATCAGATTTATGGCTAATACAGCTAAGATGTGTAATTTTAAGGTAGCTTATTGTTTTTCTAGTTAATTGGATATTAATGTAACTTAAAACAAATAAAAATCAGTCATTTTTCACATGTGTTTTTACTTTGCATAATGCTAAAGAAAGTAATGTTTCAAAGAATGAATGTGGTTTTTTTTCAAGGGCATTGGTCCTAAGAGCCTTTTTTTAAATGTCTTTTAGGGACTAAAAAGATAACATACTAAAAAAAATGCATTAGCTCATATAAAAATAGAACCCAGCCAAGGTCTTACGTATAAGGGGAAATAGAAAGATAATTTTAGAAGTTATAAGGAGAGAAGTAATCACTGTTTAATATGAGAGAGAACACAGTTATTTTCTCAGACACAGGAAATAGACCAGTCAGTCACTTGCTATGATTGACAGTGATTTGGGGAGAAAATAGAGAGTTCTGATGGCTCATGGGAACTATGACCTATTAGAACTGCAGCTCAGC